TCCTTCCTCGTCATCTATGTCTTCTTCATCATTGCCGAGCTCTTCGACATCTGCCGGACCCTGGTCCTCTACTCCTTCCTCGTCGTCTGCATCCCCCTTGCAGGCCTTGCCGAGTTCCTCGACTTGTTCGCTGCCGAGTTCCTCTACCCCCTCCTCCTCCAACGATGACGACTGGCTTGCGAAAGTCATTGATACGAGAGGACTTCGAGGAGGACATCGTATGCTTGGACGAGATCCTGCCACTCTCCTTCGAGGACCCACCCAGGCACATGCTGACGAGGATGTCAACCCGCATGCATCAGCCAGTGCACCCGCCAGGGATATTCCACTCATTGGGATGACATCTCGAGCAGGCCGTGAGCGTGGAGGAGTTGATCGATGGCATCATGCAGACGGGTCTGTTCGTTGTCGCCTTCGTGAACGTCTTAAAGCAGAAGCCCGCGCACGGGTTGAAGATCATCCGCCTCCTCCTGCTGTGAACCCTCATGCTGCTGATTCTCAGTGTCCTGTTGGAACTCCAGAAGAAGTCGGCAACCCGGAACCCTCTGCGTTTGAAGTAACTGGGGGTGATGTGCATGTTGATGGGGAACGCACCGTCAAGGCTGTTACCTTTTATGGTGATCGCTTTCAGGTTAGGGCCGGGGTGGCTTCACGCGGACAATCCAACACCTCCACCTCGGCGGGGAGCTCCCGATTTGGGACGGATGAAGGGGATTCCTGCCAGAACTCCTCCTCTTCCAGTTCGTGTCCGTCGGCACCTGGCTTCTGGCGACATGGTGTCTGGCATGCTCGCGCTCGCTCTGAAGCTGAGATGAGAGCTCACCGAGGTGGCATGGGGCCCAAAAGACAGGCAAGAAAGGCCGCTCGCATGAAGGCCTATGCTGAAGGAACTTGGCGCCCTGTCTGGCTTCTGGACTATGTCAAGGGCAAACAAGCACGTGATGAACTACGCACCCGCGACTCTGCGACCGTCTTAGCTGACATGGACCCGAAAGCTCTAGCGGTCTTCCTTGGACACCAGACTGGTGCTGAGTCTGATGTACCTGAGCCGGCTCCTTCAGCTCAGCAACATGCGGCCAACATCGCCACCGAGCCGGACCCTTGGGCCAATCATGAATGGCACTCTTCATGGTGGTCGTCCTCAGTGCAAAACCAGTCTGATGAGCCTGCTGACTCCTCCACTCAGTGGTCTGGGCATGGTGACTGGGGTGACAATAACTGGTATTCTTGGGATACTTCATCGTCGACGTGGTCGTGGAGTTGGTCGTCCTGGAGCACTTCTACCTCAACGACTTCCTCTTCTACATTGCCGAGCCTCTTGCCCAATGAAGGATTGCTGCCCACGGTACGACCAGCAGAGCCAGACACCGTTATGTTGATGCAGATGACTGGAGCAGAACGAGCCTCTCTTCAAGAAGCTGGTGTCAATCGTGCTGGTGTAGATAGCATTGAACAACTTCTCGAGACACTTGATAGAGAGAATGATCGCGACAATGGGCCGGAGTCTCGATGGGCGATAGCATGCTTGGTCAGGCGACTTGAGGATGGACTCGCTTGTCTTGAAGCTCTACACCTGGTGCTCGTACGACGACTCCAAGCACGTGGCTATCTGCCAATACAGCGTGTGCCGCGACCGCAGTTGGCACAATATCAGTTGTTCAACTGGGTCCGTGGGTATGTCCCCGTGTTTGTGGAGCACCTCGAGCGACACATGCGTGCGGGACTGCAGCCAGGAGAATGCAATCGAGAGGCTGGGGTGGAAGATGATGCCGGCCAACAGGTGCCGTCTCTCTCAGCCCAGGCAGGTTCCTCCACTGATGTTTCCAACTCTCATCGCAGAGTTGAGCCCAGTGCGGGAACCTCTCCTTGTCGGCCCTCCCGCTCGCGTAGTCGGTCCAGAGCTTCCTCAAGCAACGAAGCTCCTTCCCAGAGTGGATCTTCACGTGGCTCCGGAGATGCTGGTGCTCTGCCTGAGGTGGTAGACACAATGGGGGACACTGGCAGTGATCCCTCAACTCGTCGAATGTCACATGATGAGGAACGTGCCCTTGATGGGGAGCTTCTTGGAATCTGGCGAGAACAGCATGCGACAGACACTCCTACGAGCACGAGCTCCACGACCTCCACGTCGACTACCTGCCCCTCGCCGTCTCCTTCTATTTGGCTACATGTGTCGGGTGTTGATGAACATGGTGACACTAGTAGTGGGGGTGACTTCGTGGAACTCCTACAACTGGTTACGTGGACCACCTCAACTTCGACGAACTTGGTTTCTCCGGAAATTGGGGAGATTTACGACAGGGAGCCCTGGCTGACTTCCCCCTGCTGGCCATCAACTACATCGACGACGTCCTCTTCTGCGCCGCTGATGCCCTCTGAGGTGATTCGCGATGCCGTCAACAGAGAGCTAGTGCACGCAACGAGCGCTGATGTGGTTGAGCTCTTACACCGTCTTACCGCGCGACAACGTCGTCTACAGCATCTGACGCGGCTAACGGGTATTGCCATCGAGGAGACGCTCACTTGGATCCAGGTCCCTGCGGGGGCTCTTGCGTTCAATGCCCCGTCTATGGAACAAACACTCTGGAGCCACATCAACCATGAGGCCCAGTACGCTGACAGACCCAGTTCGTCCGGAACCACACAGGTCACGGGACAAGCAGCTGCTCTTCTTCAACCTGGCTTTCCTCCCACTATCGAGGCGCTTTGGCAGAGTCTTCCCCAGTTCTCCCCGCACACTGTGGTGGGACTCAGGAGGCGAAGCTGGCGACATCATGCTCGAGCTCTCCATGCCCAAAATGGAAGTCCACTACCGGGGGGATTATGGCCTTCGGAAGACGATCAAGACTTGTATCTCATACAAGTAGATGAGTCGTCACAGGTTGAGAACATGCCGGCCTTCACTTCGCCTCGTCCTCTTCCAGCACGATACCGTGTTCGTCATCGGCGTCGTGCGCTCCAGCCTCGCCCGCCTCCAGTACTATGCCCCACGGCTACGTTGGGTGACTTAGTGGCTGCCACACCCTTTGAAGAACTACCGCGTGGCCGTGCCCGTCCAGAACGCAGTCGCAGCCGTGACCCTGCTCCCGAACGTGGTGATCCTGCCCCTCCCAACGATTCTGCGCACCGTGAACTTGATGCCGAAGATCGAGGTGCTGAACGAGGTGCAGGGTCTGATTCTGCTGAAGAAGAAGAATGCACGAGGTCAAGAAGTCGTTTCGATGGTGCC